CCTCCCCCGCCCATCGCGGCCGCGCAAAGTCCCCGGCGCTCGGCAGCAGGCGTGGAAGTTCAACCGGTGGACCTCTTTCTCCCGGGCAAAGCGGCTCTGCCGGAAGACGTGGGAGAAGAGGGAGGCAGGCGGGGGGGGAAGGCGCGTAGGTTGCGCGCCTTGCAAGACCTGCTTTGCTCAGGCAGGCCGCGCGCAACCGCACCAAGGGGGAGACGGGGCTCCTGTACCTTCTTCCGCGGGTGAGGAAATTCCGGGGACGAAGGATCCGCTGCCTTTCTATAGGGGAGAACCGCCGCCGACCCATCGGAGGGACGGCGTTTGGACCTGACTGTTAAAGGCGCAGGAACTCTGCTCCCCCTCTTTTTAAAAAAATTTGGCCCCCCTTGGGTGCGCTTTCCCACCACCGACAACTCGTGGCCATGCGTTTACCTTGGAGCAAATTGGCCGGAAATCATCGGGGCTCGGGGTAAAGGCGGATCATAGGATCGGGCGCAGGTGGCCGCGTGCGCAGCGGGGCCTTCGAGCCGCCTCGTTCCCGCGCGGGAGCCGAAGGCCGCTTGGAAGGCAAAGAGGCCGCGGACGAGGAGAGCACAGACACGCCGGCGTGGAGGCCACACCGTCCCGCGGAAGAAGGGGACGAAATTCGTCTTTTCTCTCCCGTTTCCCCTGATAAGCGAGATGTATGGGGGGGGGGAGGAAAAATCTCTAGTGTACGTACACACACACACACACACAAACACACGTTTTCTTTAAAATGACGGACCTGTTTTACCACTAAATAGCTGCCTGACTGCGGGTGCTCCGCGTAGGCTCTGTGTTTTTCTTAAGATGTCAAGCTTTAACATTGATTTTTAAGTTAATTTTTTAAAAAGGAATAAAACTTGTTTTTAAGGAACATTTTCCTCTCTCTGTGCCTCTCCTAGGCTGTGGCTTCCTTCGCGGCCTGAAGAGCCACAAACTAATCGTTAAAGCAAATAAGCGAAATGCCCACTGAAGCTGGTTCGTCCTCAAGGTGCCCCGAATCTTCGCCCGGCTACCAGTTCGGAAGCAAATCCTAGGCAGCTGCCTTTGAAGCGCTCCAGCCCCGGGCGAGCTTCCTCGGGAGGAAGCCTCATGGCGTGGCCGGGCAGTGAGTCGAGGTTGCCTCGAAGACGCGGCGACGTTTTCTTCAGAGGAGGAAACGGGATTGGGCGGCGGGGGGAAGAAGGCGCGCGCAAATCGGGGCCCGCAAAGCGAGGGTGATACGAATCTCCCCCGAAGGGTGGCTTCACCCTGCTCGGAAAGAGCCCCCCCCCGCTCCGGGGGGCGGGCAGGGGGGGGAAGAAAAAGCCTCGAGGCGCGCGCGAGAAAGACGCACCTTGGAGCATCTTGCAGGGTTTGGGGAAAGCCTTATTTTTATCACTGCCTTGAAAGGTTCGTGGTTCTTCCACCTGGAGACGGATTCCCGGCCACCTCAACAGGCCTCCTCGGCAGAAGGCCGCGCAGCTTGCTTCCCTCCGCCCTTCCCACTGGACCCGACCAAGCGTTCTGCCCCATCCGAAAGCTGGCGGACTCTGCGGTGGTCAGGGGCCATTTCCTCTCCTCCTCCGCGAGTTCGGAACCAAAGCGGTTCATTTGGATGTTCTCGGACTGGACTCGGGGGGCTGCACAACTCGCCGTTTCGGACGACCATCGTCTCTTTCCGAAGCTACCTCCTTGCTTCGGCGGAATCCCCATTTAACCTCAAGGGCCTTCCTTGCGAGTCTATGCGCCTGGATGGGGGCGGCACGACACGAGAAAAGCCGTGCCTTTGTATCAGAGCCTGGGTGGATCGACACCCCGCCGTTCCTCCGGGGGTGCCCTCCAGTCCTGAGCTGTTGTTGTTGTTTTAATCCGTTTTGTTGGCGAATATTATATCTATGTCCTTTTTCTTTCTTGCATCCCCCAGCTAGGCACCGTTACACGGAGGAAAACCGCGCTCCCATGGGCAGGAACAGATTTCCCGCTTTTCCATTTTCAGGGGGCCAGATCCCCTCTTTCTTTGGGAGTCAGGAAGGAAGGAAGAGGGAGGAAATGAGGGCGTGGGAGAGAGAAAAAGCTGAGTCGAGGTGGCACCGAAAAGACCCCCGTTTGCTGAAGAAACGGGCCAAAATCCCGGACTGCTTCGCCGCCGCCCGCCGCCCCCCCGCGCCAGCTCTGGCTTGTCTTTCCGGCGCGCCTGAGTCTCTCCCTCGGGTGCTCGGAGCTCCACTTTACCCGTGGCTCTCCTCGGCAGGTTGATTCCCAGGAAACGTTGCTGGGCTTCAAAACGAATCGGGTCCAGGAAACGAACGTCGTAAGCACGTTCTACCCGAGAGGAAGCCTCTCTGCCCGCAGCGGGACTGCTGTTGTTGTTTAGGCGTTAAGTCGTGTCCTGACCCCTTGGACCAGAGCAGGCCAGGCCCTCCTGTCTTCCACGGCCTCCCCTTCGCGGATTGCTGCTGCCTTGTGGCGAAGGGGCTTGAGACTCATTCAGAGAAGGGCGATGGGCCATTATGCCCTGATGGGACACCCAAGATGGACAGGTCGTAGTGGAGGGTGCGGACTAAACGCGATCCACCTGGAGCAGGAACGGGCAAGCCACTCCA